TTGCCCAGATACATCGTCTGCCGTTGCAACTACGAATTGGGTACATATTTCCGGATCAGATTGCCAAAAATCATACGTGTACCAATGACGATGTATTATGTGATTTGGAACAGTTTTCAAAATTCGCCCCCGCGCTAAGTTGACCGCCGCCGGCCGGCAGACGGGCGATTTTGGAATCGCACGGTGACATTCTACTGTTTGGTTACATCAAACCTTTTGTACCCATGACGATGTATTTTCTACGCGGGCTCTCGGTCTACATGTTATGGAAATTCTGATAACAGATTCAGCTTTTCCGAAAAATAGAAAGTGCTAACGGGAACCGTTTGCGCCCGTTTAGGATAACGAAACGAAAACGAAATTTGACATCTTTAGTTTTTCGGTGATAAGTCACTTTAAAAGATGTTTCAAAAATTTCATTTTTAGTAATAGAAATGGGAACTTAACCCCAATTTAACATACTCTGTATCGCTCACCGTTACGGAGGTTCCATTGGTGAGTCATGAATTTGAACCGCCCTGTACAAACCATGTAATAAAATATGGAGACATAATTTAAACAATATCCATCTATGATATGATCTAAATCTACCCTACCTTAACCCTCGACAACGGATCATAAAATGCTCCACATCCGCTTTCCTTATGTATCGCCGCTGACTAATCTTCTATGGTGCCTCGATGTCTATCTGGATTTTTAGAATATTCGCTACATCAAAAATATTGTTTGAGGTTTTCTTACAAGTTTTTTGTTTTTAGAAACAGGATCTTTTGGAAGTTGGAAGTTCCTACATATCGTTTAAAAACCTTATTCTGAAATATGTTCATTAGGGTATCTACACCTCTCTCCCCACATCCAATTTTTTAGCACCATAATTAGGTGCCAATAACAAAAAGTTGGTGCTTTGGCCGTTTGGAAAAAAAAAGGATTGGATGTGGATGGCGCTTAACATTAATGTAGCCCTCCCTGCCCCATCGGAATTTTCTTCTTTCGCGTGCTTTCCTGTTCAGCTATCTGCAGAAAAATACCATGTTGTAAAGCTTCTGACCAGAACTCTTGAAGAGGTCTTTCTAAAAACATTTTTTCTTTCGGTTTTTCCTTGAAAATAGTCTTACAAAAACTTGAGAAAGTTTACAAAAAACGATTTTATTAATTTATATTTTATTTAATTCAATTTACTTTAGTGAGTAGGTGGCACTCCCTCAACTGTTCTCTTTTAATTAACATATTATCAACGGATAATCCGAAACTTCAGATTGAACAAATCATATGAAATTGTTATGAATAAGTTAAAAAAATGTAAGTATAAATTCAAGTTTGTAATTTCCGAGGTAATTTCTTTCGGGCCCACATTCGTTTTACTAATTTTGGGGGTTCCAGCTTAATATTAAGCTAGCATCCCAAATTTAAAAAAAAAACAGTACCATGTAAATTCCAGACTGTAGCAATAAATGCGATTACACTTATCAAAATTCAAAAGTCGATAGTGGGAGTAACGAAGAGTAAAGTGCCACCACAATTCCCTTAATTTTTCCCTTTTCCGTGATTTTAAATCGCAATATACATAATGATATAATCGAGGATATAATAGATGGCGCCAAAGCGAAAACTAGTACGCCTCTTATACCGTCGACTTCAGGCAAGGAGGTGAAAAAATAGACGGTGAAACGTATGCCCGCGAAGGTTTCTAATGTAGTAAACGTGAGAGCGGGACGTCTGGGCGAAGGAAGGTCACTGCACCGCCGAAACCGAGCTGGTGTCCTATGCGCGAACGGGACATTAAAATACTATTATTGGGTTTAGTACTGCTATGTGCAATAACATCTGTCCAGGTACAACAAATTACAAAAAATTTTGACTACAACATTTGCCAAGCCACAAAACAAGCTTTGATGCAATTTCAAATGTTAGTGACTTTTTGGTGGTAGATAACTTCACTTTATCGAATACTTGGGAAAACCTTAAAGAAATGCCCCACTGCTCAGTAGACACAACACTCAAACTACTTCTCTATTCATACTAGAACAGATCTCTTTTATAACGACAAAATGAAATCTCTTAGAACACTATCTAGAGTCTACACCTCGATCAACACTTTATTCTACAAGAATTTTACAATCACCAAGACTGACTGTCTTTCACCAAAATGCTAAATAAAAAGCCCCGTTTTTCGTCTGCTACGCATATTTAACGACTCTTCCCTTTAATAAACTTTATGATGCTCCTTTATCATTTTGTTAACTAAACTTCAGTATGCGTCTTCGATAAACTTAATACCTGTGTTTACTATCGGCGAATACCTCCTTCAACTTAATTAGCTGTCACGGAGCGATGTTCGGATTTAGAAAACACTTAACACAATTACTTCCGGATGCCCCTAATCCTTCCTAACACAATCCAACTTTACATCAAATCAAAACAAAATACAAGACGATTATTTAAACAAAATTATACATCTAATAATTCCAATACAAATCAACATTGACATCAAATTTAAGTATGATAGAAATTGTGTTCAATCTAAACTAGCGACCACATTTAACCTTAAAAAAAGTTTACATTTTCAGGGTAACCCATCGTTGCTATAGGTGCTGGTATTCTCGAAGAATTTTTTGGGATTCTGAATCGCCCGCGTGCTTATTTCTAAACGGCAGACGCGTCGGCGTGCATGCGACAATTGACCCTTCCCCACAACTATTTCGGAATGCGAAGTCAGCTTAATAACTATCGAATGTGTGCCGTAATGGTTTAGTGGCAAGGATACTCGGCTTGTAACCGGGTAGCTCGGGTTCGATTCTTTGCATGAAAAGTTTTTTTTTTAAATTTTTTTACAAAAATATATATCCCAATTCAACGGAGATTATTTGTAGGTTTAAGATCGACTCCCCCACCCTCATCGCGCTCGCTCGTCTTCTGACGCCGCGATAAAAAGCTTCTATTTATCACGACACTTGCATTATTCTTACATTTCGATTTAAACATTAAATAGATCACACAAAGCAAACAACTGTAGCGACCTTTGATCTATTGACCCTAAATTCAAGGGTTCTTTCTTGGACCAGAATAACCTATACTAAATTTGAACCCTCTAGCTGGGACGCTAGATTTTTCGAATTTCTTGAATTTTTTGTGATGCTTCGAGTACTGGAGATTATTTGGTTTTTTGCCATATTCAAGTGTTTTCTTTTGATTTTCCCAAATTACTGTACCAGACGACCTTCAAATTTTTCGTCTTACAGAGCCCCCCCCCCCCCCCCCCTCTACTGGTTTGCGATGCATTCAGCCTAATGGAATTGTTTGTTAGTGGCTCAGTTTCATTAGAATTTTTAGTATAATGCCTCGTTGGCAGTTCACTTTGTATAAGGTGGTTCAAATTCGTGGCTCATCATTGGGATCTTCGTAATCGTGAGAGATACAGGGTACGTTAAATGGGGGCAAAGTTGGCTCTTTTTCGTTTTAAAAAACGCATTTAAAATTTTTGAAAAATCGTTGAAAATACTTGAGGTATCACCGAAAAACTGAAAATGTTCAAAATTTCGTTTTCGGAAGTGGACGGTTCCCCGAGTCAAGGTAAGGCTTATATGCTCGATTTTCCGTCGTCTGTCTGTTCCATCGAGATCTCGACACCTGGGCCACCTAGAGACTTAGGGTTTTCGCTAATTTGATAGTTACTACGGTCTACATTTGGCCGTTACTCATCATTTACATGTGTTACGCGGCAACACCCACGAGTGGGTTTTTGAAACATTTTTTATTTCTTATGGGCGCCAGGTTGGATGTTTACGGAATGAGATGGAGGAAAAAAAATAATGATGTGCCATACTATACATAAATTTACAAAATAAGTCAAATCTTTTGGATTCATTCTCTGGTAACTAGATTAGATTTGTAAAAGTGTAGAGTGTGCCACATTTTCTTTTTTTGTAAAAATCCAATATGGCGCCTATAAGAATGTAGTACTTCTATCTAGAGTGGTATGAAAATTCTAATAACAGATTCTCCAAAAAAAGTCTCTATAAAAGGTGCGAACGAGAACCGACCATTTCCGAATGAAGAAAAATGAAAATTGACATTTTCAATTTTTCGGTGATAACCATTTTTTCCTCGTTTTTTTTTAGTATCAGTAATAATCGAAATATCGATGGACCACTTATCGTTATCAATTATTGTATTAGATTCAAGTTTCAAGCCCTGCGTGAGTTGAATGGTTGAAATGTGAAAATGTGTACAGAATGTTTCCAAATTTATTAAAAGGAATTTTGTTTTTCGAGTGGGACCTAGTACATAGGTACCTATTTCTGGCAAGATTTTAATTGTTACCGTCATAACTTTACATAGAAAGTGATCAGGTCCTTGACTCAATTTTTAATTTTATTATGGCAAACGTAATTTTTTTCCTTTGACACTTCAAAGAGTATCGGGGTTACATATTTACCCAGAATCATACCCACTTGATCCCTGTTCCCTCCCATACTTCGTCTTCTCCCTTAACTATCGTGTTACATTTGCGCCATTTTTAGATAAGCGCCCTCGGATTTTTTAAACAACAAATTATTCTGTCTCACTCGAAGCTTTGCAATGCGGAAAAAAAACTCGAAACTATTTCCGCATCGCCGTCGTTTTCTTTTTTGTAAACACGGCGCACGTGCGCTCAAATGGGAACTTGCGTACGTGATTAATCAAACGCGTCCGAATGGAATGCCGAATGCGTTGTAAAACTGTTTGTGCGACGTTCCTCAAGGGCGCCTTTCGGGATCGCTATTATTTTCGTAAAGCGCGTCGACCATTTACGCCCCGCTGTTAAGAGATTAATCTCGTAACCTGTTGCTGTCGGGTCTCGGATAATCGAATGAGGTCGTTTGCTTTCGACTTTATAATAGAGACACTACTACTTTACTACTAGCGCAGAGATATCAAATGCTGAAGAAGTATTTATGTTTGCCCTTTTAATGGCTTTAAAACTCAACAAGTTTTGATCGACTTCTCTTTTTCTTTTTCAGACTGAACTTTCCGGTATTAAATGGCGTAAGCTTGTGTGGTGCGATGGCGGAGGGGGTGGAGGTGAACCATTGGACGATCCGGTACTACGAAGTTATGCACGCTGTTTAGCCGCCGATATTTTGTGCGTGTGGAGACGCGTGTCGGCGCCGAGACCCGAAACGCTCTTCGATCTGGGCCCACCTACACCTACGCAACCACCACCACTTAGTCTCGCCGCCGCTAAAGAATTATGGATATTTTGGTACGGAGAGGAGCCCGATTTGGCCGTGCTCGTCGCGCCCGAATTGATAACAACCGGTAAGGGAGTGTGTGCGAGTTTTCAATTTTCAATGGGGTGCATGCAGCAAGCAACCCCACACATACGCGCGGTATCACTTCGTGGGTGGTATCGGCAGGACGCATGCAGCGGTGTGCCGTATTGATCAAGAATGCGACGGCGACGGTTGCTTCGCTAATGTGCGAATCGTTGCAAAATTCCATCCCTTATTTTGCAAGCGGCACTCGAACGTGCCGTCTTTGTTTGCCGATCTGCGCCAACCTTGATTTTGGTGCTTTGACGTAAATGACACCGTGCCACGGAAAATTCGGTCATTTTTTCTGTTCGATCCAAGAGAGCAGAAGATAACAATTAATTGCCGATTACGTAGAGCTTAGACTAAGCGATCGCCCTTCACCTTTTTCATTCAAAATTTGTTACACGAAACATTTGCTCCCTTGCAACATTGGGAGAGTGGGACGAACGGACAAACGAAATTATATTGAATGTAATAACAGTCGTGAGTTATTGTTATGAGAAGTAATCACTGCGAAAATTTTGTTCGTCCGTCTTAGCGCTTAAGATCGCTGCATTCAGACCTCACATAAAACTATTTTTCATCAAATATATCGCGCATTTCCGTCTTAGTCCACGGGATTACGTTCTTGGTTTTAAATTCCAGGGGAGAGTAGATCGGTCCATGTGGGTGTAAGTGGTAAATGGCGAGATGGGATCGACTAAAATTTAAGTAAAATAATAGATACCGTGATTATTTAATTGGAATTTTTCTATTAGAAAAGATGCTATGAATATGGGGCACACGTAAATAGTACCCCCCCCCCTCCCCCTCTTCTAAATGTAAAACTGCTTGAGATATTGATTTAAAATTTGGGAGAAAGATAGATAGATAGATACTTTTATTTCCACGTTCAGTCGAAGAATTTGAAAAAAAAGCTTCAAATGATTCAAAAAAGTACATTTCAAAAAAGATTTTTGGAATTTTTCGAGAGGCAAATCACTGTGGAATTTTCGTGTCCTATTAAAATTCATGGAATTGTTATAACATTTATCAAATTCCTTTACGAGCTGTAATATGGGGGAGCCCAATAGTGGATTTTGGGATTTACTCGACCGCGTTAGATTAAAGTAAGGTGGGTTGACTACGTGTTGAAAAGTGTGCAGTTCAATAATTTGACGATTTGAGCGTGACGTGAAGGAGTGGGAAGGTCATAAACTTGCAAAAAAACGTTACGTTGACATTCTCGAGCGCGTTGGAATTCTTTTTTCAAAGAAGGTCATTCAAGAATAACAGAAATAATATAATCTGCCGATTTCCACACGCCAAAGTGGAACAAACCGTCAATAAAGTTAATTGCGTTCAGCAAGTGAAGCATATGTCAGTTGAGTGAGATAGGCGGGTCGTGTTATAAATAATACTCGAATAAATCCCGTTTTCTACCCTACCGTACAGCCTCCCCATCATGCAAACCGGAAGATTAACATACCCCCAATATCAGGGACACGTGGGTCATATGCACTATCAATATCTGACGCGTTTTGGTATTTTCATGTAACTATTTTGTTGTACATTATTAAAAAAGTGTATACGCTCCCCCCAGCGGCGGGGTGATGTACAACATAATTCGTTCTTTCTATCATTGAATCTACAAAGTTCAATAGGTCCCTACCATATCCCCATTTAGCATCATGGGCTCCCCTACTACTATAATTGAGGTTGTGGCTTACTTTATCTTGATTTTTATATAATTACCTGGAACCATTAAACATTTTTGTTTTTGAAGTGAGTCTTTCTGATCGCACGGGACTTAATTCATCTCCAGACTCCATGTCACAAGGTCACAAGACGCCATGTGGAATGGCGATCTTCTGCACGTTTTTTAAGAGCGCTTCTTTTAAGATAAGATCCAGCTCAATCGGACGGGATTCTGTAACCCACATAAATGTCAATCCTTAATTATACTTAATCAGTTAGTCGGAATGAAATCTCCAAATTCGGCAGTCCAACAACGTCCTTTTGTCTCCTTGAACTGCACGACCTTGCCGATTTAAATCCTGGATTTTCGTATACCATCAGATCAGATTGACTCGCTTTCGTCTTGCCTGGCAAGAGAGCTTTCGTCGGCTGTAAAAAGAATTTAAATATTCCTACAGGAACGGTTGCAAAAAGGATATTAACTACGAATTACTTTCGTTATCGGCGGGAAGAAAATAATGAAACACACGAATCTCACTCCCTGTTTCCTAGAGCAAATAAGTAAATTCAGGACCTACTTAGTAACGAAGCGTCCAACTTAAAACGCTTCTAGATACCTAGTGTTCAGCAAAGGTCGACTTCACAAATATACGGTATGGTCATAACTTTCGGTATGAAACTTCAGAACGGAAAACGGGTGCTTTCTGTGTTTCGTTACAATATGCTATTTTTTAATTAAAATATATAGGGTGTTCCATTTACAAAAAAGAGGTTCGATAACTTTTTTACCTAACTCCTTATTCTTATTTTGAAAACGCCAGTTTATTCAACTATCAAGGAAACTTACGAATATTGAATCATAGGTGGTTCCAATCGGTGTGTCTTCAAAACGCGTATTTCCGAAGTGGGGGCATTTTTTACTCCAATGCATTACCTCTCTTACTCGAGTGCGGGTGGTATAAAAGAACGCCTGTAACGCTGTAAAAGTAACTAAAACCCTGTACATTTATAACACCAGCGCAAATTTTACTGTTTTTCACTTTGGCATCAGTCTTGAGACTGAAACTAAACACAATTCATTCCGTCATATAGTAAACAGAAATAATGAGCTACACCTGCTCTGTCGCCGGGAACTAATCCTTTATCGGCTTGGTGTTGCTTGTTCTAGCTAGAGGGATCATTACTATAGTCACAGAATCTTATTGTGAAGCGTGCAACTTGGCCTCAGAGTTTGACGACAAATTACCACTTCAATAGCAATAAATCGTTTTCGTTGGACAAACTTTTACGCCCCCAGGTTTTCTGTGGATGGTCAAATTAGACTAAAATTGTCAAAAAAACATTTTTACCTGGAGCTTGTTGCGTCGAATTTGCTTGCTGCCTTGCCGCCCCTTTAGAACCCTTAACTGGAAGATTTCGTTTTTGTTTTTAAATTTTCGGAAAAAAATGAAATTTTTCAAAATCGTTTTTATTTTTTTACTGAAGTTATTTCAAAACCATCATCAACTTTGTTTTTTCTTATGGAAGCCATTTTTTTTTCAATTTCAAAACGCCATTTTATTAAGTAAGTACCAAAATACGCAACTTTGCCAAATTTAAGCTACCTACCAATCGGTGGCCCTCGAATTTGGAACAGTCTGTATAGCTTTGCGTTTCAAAATGTTTCAGTATCGATCAAAATTGGTGGGTAGACGACCCACACGAATTTTCCTTAATTTGCACGTACGTCATCGCTGTATTCTGACGTCATCCCTGAGTACGTTTACATAGCATCTTGCAATCAATGAAAGAGCAGTTATACGAACAGTGCTGCATTGTAAATTGTAAAATTGTCGCAACGTAAAAAGTCCCTTTTCACAAAAGTTTTATTTTTTAAATAACGTACGACTGCTTCAAAAACCTATATTTTGGGAAAGACAATATTCCCCAAAAACAGAATTGATGGCGTGCGCGCAAACTAAGGAAAATTCGTTATAGGTATATCGGTCGTGATATCGGTTTGGTCTCGGGTTTGGTGGGGAATGCCAACTTTCTTTAAACTAATTTTTTGAGTAAATATAAACTGTGTTAGAACCCCTAAGAACTTCCCTATAACCATTTGAGCGGCATCATCCCTTAATTAATAATATTAGATTTATGATATTTCGGATGACAAATCAATAAAAGGAAACCCAGAAAATGCGCCTTATCAATCTGTTCAGAATACAGATGTTTCAAAACGGGGACAACAAGTTTTGAATGGAACATTAAACATTTTACGATACGTACATTTTATTAGCAATTAATTACTATATTAACCTTTGTTCCGCATAATTTTGATTTCGTTATTTCCTTTCAGCAATTTGGTTAGGGAGAAAAATCCCATTTCTCTCATTTGAAAAGATGATGATTTCTTGTATCCGATGCACACGATACCGTGATGTTTTCGACATGTCAATGACCTTCATATTATAAACTGTGCAACTTTATGGGTTATGAGTTACGTAAACGCGATGTTTTTGTTAAGTAATTTCTCGAATGGGTTTGCAATGATCGGACGAAACGTTACATAAAATTCCATTGATACATTCTTGGGTGATGTTCACGCCTAAAAGCAGCTGCAATTCGAAGCCCGAAGGCCGCCGCTGGTTTTATTCCCGCGCACTGCTCGCGTGACGTCACGCGCACGTCACACTGACGTAGCGCGCCTACTTCAATCGAACGTGCTAATAGCGTCGAGTATTTTTAATCGTCGCTCGTTATTATCAAAAAAAAGTGCACTCTTGCGCGGTATGCGAGTGCATGCCCTCCGACGTATGACAAAATCGTTTCGTAAATTTCGTTATAATTTACGGTAGTAAAACGGTTAACTGTTGCATGCGGCACATTAAAGTTCTCCCACTAGAAAAACGAAGACGAGTTTAACATTGCTCAAGTTGAGGATTTCACTGTAGGTTCATCAACCTGCCGCGGGCCGTAGAAAATTATTGTAGATCGCCGCCTTTAATTGTCTCGTGTATTTTCCGCCACCGTGTGCGAATCCGATAAATAGGTAGATGATTAAATGAATACTAGAAACACCTGTTGCAATTGAATCGGTATCCAATTTTCCCGCAAACGCACGAGAAATAACGAGAACAAACGTCACAAAGCTAATAAGAAAATAGAAAGTTTTCACTAAATCAGATTGGAAGAAATCCATTGTTTAATTTTTTTCTAGGTGAACCAAACCGTGCGCGCGTTCTGTCGAGAATTTTTCTTAATGAGACGTAGATACAGTTACACAACGAGCGCGAAATAGGTAGCAACACCACCTAGTGAAAACGAGCTCAAGGTTATCACTTCAAT